ACCTCAATCTAAACCTCACACCTTATACAAAAATTAAAACTTAACTCAAAATGGATCATAACTTAAATGGAAAATGTAAAACTATAAAACATGGTAGATTTATTCACAGAGAGTAGAAATTATAAGAATAATTTTTAAATGTATAGAACTAAATGAGAATAAAAACACCTTTATTAAGAAGTGAAGGATGCAGCTAAAATAGTTATTAGAAGAAATCTTAAATGTTCATGTTTTCTGGATTCAAAGCAATCCCAACCATACTTCCAGCAAGTTTTTTGTGTTTTTAAATTATCATTGTACAGTCACGCACCACTTAATTATGAGGATACATTTTGAGAAATGCATCACTATGTGATTTCATCACTGTGTGAACATCATAGAGTGTACTTACACAAACCTAAATGATATAACCTACTACACACCTAGACTATATGGTATAGCTATAGCCTGTTGTTCCTAGGCTACAAATATGTACAGCATGTTACTGCACTAAATACTGTAGGCAATTGTAACTCAATGGTAAGTATTTGTGTATTTAACTTAGAAACTGTACAGTAAAAATACAATATTATAACCTTATGGGGCCACCATTGTGTATGTGGTTCATCGTTGACCAAAATGTCATTATGTAGCAGATGACTGAAGTTTCTATCTTTCCCCATTAATTATTTCTAAGTATTTCTAAATGTCTACTTATGATTTTCAAATGTATAGATCTTTTTGGTTATCTTTTCAAAAATTGGTTTCTACCTTAATTGCACTATAGCAAAATGTGGTTTGTATGACTCCAAATCTTTGAAATTTCTTAAGACTCACTTCATAGCCAATGGTATAAATATTTCATGTATTCTTAAAAACAATAGGCATTCTCCTGTTGTTAGCTATTTTTCTCATAAATTTATAATCAGCTTGTCAATTTCCACCAAAAGAAAATCCCAAAATTATGAGGTAAGCATGATATTTTAGAAGTCAGAAAAAGAATTGACCAAAAGAAAGAAGGTAGATATCCAAGAGAAATGGAAATATGTTTAAACCAAAACTTGGACATGGATCTTCATAAGCACTATTATTCATAATAACCAAAAAGTGGAAGCAATCCAAATGTCAACCAAGTGACTAATGAATAGATAAAATGTGCTGTATCCACAGAATGAAAAGGCCAAAATTTGGTCCTTTGAAAAGACTAAAAAAGTAGACAAACCTCTGGCAAGACAAATCACCAAAATATGAGAGAAGACAAAAATTAATAAATTTTGGAATGAAAAGTAGGATATAAGCCTATAGTTATAGCAGAGATTGAAAGATAATATAACTTTTATGAATAAATTTGAAAACTTAGATTAAATGGACAATTTCCTAGAAAAAAATTTAATTAATCAAAAGGGATTCAAAAAAAAGACCACAGACCCAAAGAGGCCTATTAATCTTAAAGAAATTGAATCAGTAGGTAAAAATTTCTATGTGTGTATACAAGCATGGTGTAGTATAATAAAAATACATATTTTGTCTTTCTCCCTGGTTCCTGGCACAGAGGTCCTAAAACCCTTGGAATTTTCTGAGTGGTAGAAATTTCTTCTGTTACTCATAATAAGTCATTTTGGAAGATACCTGAGTCTATGCTAATGTGGTGACTCAGGGTGACTAGGTAGCCTCATGATTGGGGCTGGGCACCAGAAAGATCAAACACATGAATAGAGGCTGGTAGCTCTCAGCCCCATCCCTCCAACCTCCTGACGGAGACTTGGCTGCAAACTGGGTCATGAAAACTCTTGAACAACAAGGTTTGGAGATCTTCCAGCAAGTGAATGCAACTACAAGCCAGGAGGGTCGTGTACCCCAACTCTACAGAAACAGAAGTTCCTACACACCGGGCTCTTCTGGACTTTGCCCTATGTACCTCTTGATCTGGCTGTTCATTTGTATCTTTTATATTAAACCAATAAACATGCAAAGTGTTTTTCTGACTGCTGTGAGCTCTTCTAGCAAATTTTCAAACCTGAGGAAGGAATCGTCAAATTTGTAGTCAGCTAGGCTGAAGTGTGAGTACCTTAGACATTCCATTTGTGGCTGGCATCTGAAGTGGAGGCAGTATGTGGGACTGAGCCGTTTAACTTGTGGGATCTGATGCTAACTCTAGGTAAACAGTGTCAGAATTAATTGCATTTTTGTACTATAGTTATGTAAGATGTTACCACTGGGAAAAACTGGATGAAGTATATATGGGGTCTCTCGGATGGTGTCAGAAAATTGGAGAACTGGAGAATTGGTTGGTGCTGGAAAACACCAAACAGTTAATGTCAGAAGTGGTGTCAGCAAAAAGATACTGCGCATGATTTAACACTTGTGTGTTAATGTAATTCACTGCATAATCAGATTAAAAGAGAAAAATCTCAATCAATGTAAAAGAAATATTCAAAAAAATTCAATACAATTCATAACAAAGCCCTTAGAAAATGAGGAATGAAAGACAATTTCCTAAATTTGATAAAAGATTTCTTCCCAAATCCCACAGCAAATACGATACTTAAAAGGGAACTAATAAATACATTTTTTAAATTCATATTGCAGACAAGCAAATAAAATTTATATGAAATGGCATAGGACGTAGAATACCTAAAACAATTTTGTAAAAGAATAAAGTGGAAAGAATTTCTCCACTTGATGTTAAGGATTACTCTACAACTACAGTAATCAAGAAAGAGGGTATGATATTGGCAGAGGGATAGCTACATAGATCAATGGAACAGAACAGAGAACCCAGAAATAGACCCACACTAATATGTCCAATTGATTTTTGACAAAGGTGCAAAGGAAATTCAATGGAGGAAGGATAGTCTTTTCAACAAATGATACTGGAGCAATTGGGCAACCATAGGTAAAAGCATAAACCTCAATCTAAACCTCACACCTTATACAAAAATTAAAACTTAACTCAAAATGGATCATAACTTAAATGGAAAATGTAAAACTATAAAACATGGTGGCAGGGGGAAGCATGAGACCCAGGGTTAGACAAACAGTTTTTAGACTTGTCACCAGAAGTACAACACATTAAAGGAAAATTGATTAAGTTAGACCTATCAAAATTAAAGACTTTTGTTCTGCAAAAGACCCTGGTGAAGAGGAAGAGAAGACAAGCTACATACCAGGAAAAAGTATTTGCAAACCACATATCCAGCAAAGCCCTTGGATCTAGAATAAAATTTGCTAGAAGAACACAAAATTCACCAGAAGAATTAAAACGACCAATTAGAAAATAAGCAAAAGACAAAAATGGATATTTCACTAAAGAGGATATAAAGATGGCAAGTAAGCACATAAAAATATGTTTGATAAGAATAGCCATTAGAGAAATGCAAATGAGAGCCACGAGATATCACTACACACTTATTGGAATAGTTAAAATAAAAAGCAGTGATAATATTAAATGCTGGCAAGCATGAGGAGAAACAGGATCACTCACATACTGCAGGTGGGAATGTAAAAATGTACAGCTGTTATGGAAAAGAGTAGGGGTTTTCTTACAAAATTAAACACACTTACCATACAACCCAGCAATTTTTGTACTCTTGGGCATTTATTCCAGAGAAATGAAGATTTATATTCATATAAAAACCTGTACATAAATGTTCATAGCAGCATTATTCCTAATAATCAAGCCAGGAAACAACTCAAGTGTCCTTCAGTAGGTGAATGGTTAAACAGACTATGACACATTCATGCCACAGAATACTACTAAGCAATAAGTAGTGAACTAGTGATATACACAACTTGGGTGAATCTCAAGAGAATTATGTTAGGTGGAGGGGGGAGCCAATCTCAAGAGGTTACATAGTGTATGATTCCATTTACATAACATTTTTGAAATGACAAAACTTTAGAGATGGAAAACAGATTCATGGTTGCCAGAGGTTAGGAGGGAGAGAGGGAGGGAGGTGGCTATGGCTATAAAAAGGTAGCATGGCGGGGGAGGTGGAGGGGCAGATCCTTAGAACCGTTCTGTCTCTTGACTGTGTTGATGGTCACACAGTTCTACAGACTACATAGAATACACACATACACACACACACACACACACACACACATGTAAAATTGCTGTAATCTGAATAAGGTCAGTGAATTGTATCAACATCAGTTTCCTGGTTGTGACATTGAACTATAGTTACATAATTACCATTAGAAACTGAATAAAGTGTATATAAGGTCTCTGTATTATTTCTTATAACTGTATATGAATATCTAATTATCTGAAAGTAAAAAGTTTTTTAATGTGTATGTTATAAGGATGTCCACAATCACAAACTCTATTCAACCTTAGGCTATAAACAAGAAAAGTAAATAAGCGGTTTGAGCACTAGAAAAGAATAAGCAAAACTTTCATCATCTGTTCATGGTATTACTGTCGACACAAAAAAAAACCTGTATCTACAAATAAATTATCAAGTTGTATAGAAGATCAGTATACAAAAAATATAAATTATATTCCTATACAAAGAATAGAAGAATTTAAAAAAGTAATTTTAAAATATCATTTACACCAGTACCAAAAAACAGTTCCTTGATGTATCTAACAAAAGATGTATAATACCTTTATGGAGAAAATCACAGAAATTTATTGAAAGACATTAAAAGACCTAAAAATGTGGTCTGTCTACTAATAGAAAAAACTCAGTATTGCAGAACAAAAACCAAAAAATCCTCCTGAACCTGTATATATATTCAATGCTACCTCTATCAAAATCACAATAGAGTTTTTTGTATTACTCAACAAGTCATTCCAAACTATTTTGTGGAAGAATATCCAAGACTTACATAAAGGAAAAAAACACGCTGAAGGAATTGTTCTATCAGACACCAGGACTTAATTTAAACCCAGAGTAATTATGATGGTGTGATATTGACTCAGGAATAAACAAATAGACCCATGAAACAGAAAAGAGGTTCCAAAACCACATATATGAGAACTTGCTAAATGGCAATGGTTAACAGTGACAATAGAATGTAGACTACTCACTAAATGGTGCCATCCAATTGGGCACCTATAATGAAACTAAAGAAGATGGGGAGGGGGACTCTTCCTCTCACCATTCCCAAAAATAAATTGCTGAAATTCCTAAAAGTAAAATGTGATGGAATTCCTAAATGTGAAAATCAAAAATTTAAATTCAGAAAGAGAATACCTTTACTACTCTAGGTTAGGGAAGAATTCCAAAAACTATAAAGGGAAATGTTGATACATTTGACTCCATTAACAATTAAAATTTTTGAATTAATTTTTTAAAAACCTTAAAATGTAAACTGAAAAGCCACAAACTTGGAGAAGCATTAGCATCCAAACTTCTAAAAATAGATAAGAAAAAACAAAAGTTTTTAAATATGTGAAAGATATAAACAAGCAGTCTTGAGAATAGAACAACCCTATGGCCTAAAAATGTATGAAAAGATGCCTAAACCTCATTAGGAATCAAAGAAATGAAAATTAAGGCAGCAATAAGATAAAATTTCATACCTCATAAGTTCACAAAAATTTTAAAATTTGATAATAATATCAAATAGCAGTGATGATGTTTAATAATGAAAACTGATAAAAAATTTAAGAGCCATTTAGCAATATGTAGTAATATTAAAGATGTTCATATCTTAGTAACTACACCCCTGTGTATTTACCTTACAGAAACTCTCACATATGCATAAGGAGATATGTATAAGAATGTCCTTTGTAGCATTGTTTACAATAGTGAAAAATTGGAAATGATTTAAATGTCCATTTACGAGAGACAATAAACACATTTTTAAAATGTATTATACCATGTATATTTTATGTTATATAATATATGCATAATAAATATATTTTTATATATTATGTATAATATACTTATATGCTATATTATATAACTGTTTCTACTTATATTATGCATAATTATTATGCATATATAAATATAGGTATATAATAAATACAATTTATTGTACAATTATTATATAATTTATTTAGTACACAATATTTATTTGCCATATAATGAAATACCAATCATCAGTGAAATGAATAAACTAGACATGTATAATTGATATAAAAAAATCACAAACATAATATTGAGGGGAAAAAAGCAAATTTCCAAAGCAAATTGTAAAAAATAATACCACATATTATTTTGGGGCATATACATACATAGTTGACATACAAAGTCACTCATCAGCATGATAAATATCAAATTTGGAGATAGTATTATTTGTAGGATAGGGAGGAACGGAAATGCATTCCAGGAGGGGTACATAGGGATTTCAACTGTGTTTGAAAGGTTTTACATGTTAAGCTGCGTATTAGGTGCATGAATATTAGTCATGTTATTTTCTATACCCATTTAAAATGTCATAATTTAAATAAAGAAAATGAAGGAATAATCAAAGAGAGTAGGCAAATGCAAATGAAAAGAGAGCAAAAGCGGTTCTATTAATATCTATATGGTGCAAATTAAGATCAAAATCACTAAATAGGTAAAGAAAGATATTATGTGATAAATTTAAGATATATGAAGAAGGTATAAGAATTGACAATGTGTACTTATGAAAACAGAAGCTAAACATTTTACCATGATAAGCTTTATGATCAAGAAAATTAGGTCCACTGATAATTAATTTACCCATTTGTTCTCCTGACCATCCTATCTAAATTACTGCCACCACCACTACCTGACAAGCCCATTACACTGCAGCATATCATTCTTTTCATTTACTTAACAAAATTTGCCAAAATTTTAAACTGTCTTGTTTATTTGTGTGTTTACTCGTTGACCATGCTCCTTTCACTAATATATAAGCTGCTTGAAAATGGTGATTTTAGATGTCTGGTCGACCAGTGTATACCTAGTACACAAAACAATGCTCAACACATAGTAATCCTTGAGTAAACATCTATTGAATTAATTAATTAGTTGATACCTTTCTTGTTCTGGCATTTCATAAATAGCTGGATTTTTGGAAAAAAAATCTCTTAGCGTTTCCTTTCTTTTATTTCTTCTTTTTTGTAATATATCTGCACTCTTCATAGAGGAGACAAAAACATTACAAATTAGACTTAAACTTTGAACATAATAGTATAATTTACTCATATTCTAATGCTTATCTTTTGAAATTGAAATATAGTGGTTTCTTTATAACCTTCAATTAAAATCACTATCAAAAGCAACAGAAGTATCCCATAGACAAAAAAAAATCTGATTATAAAAGTATCTATGATAATTTAAGAATTATATTGTATTGTATAATTATAAAACTATATTTATTGATATTTCCTTCTGTTTCATATTATAATGAATTAAAATGTAACAAATCATCTCTAGATACACAAATCTCATGTAATTTCATTACCTAAAATTCAAAACTCAGAAAACTTACTCTTTCAAACTCTATTACAGCAACTTTGAACTTCTTCAAAGGTTTGTTTGCCTTTTTACCCAAAGCATTGTCTTTATATTTCATTTTTTTTAGTCCAAGTAGGGACTCATTCCTCCTAATACAAAAAGATAAAGTCAGTTAAAAGGATCTGCAAAAATTTGCAAAACTACTCCCAAAGTAATAAATCTTTAATGAATGTTGTCACTGAAATTACACAACAATATTCAAACCTGCTTGTGTCACACGCATAAATTAGACCGTGATATCTCTGGTCATCAAGAAATAGCTGGCTTCTCAAAAAAGCAGAATGTGAATTACACCATAAAAGACGATGAGAAAAGAGAGGAGCTGAAGGCATGATGTAAGTGGAACAGAACTGGACTGAAAATAAAGTAACATGAACACCTCCCTTTAAAACTCAAAGAAAAACTACATAAGAGTGACCCTAGACAAGTTACCTTGCTTCTAACATATTTCAGTGTCTTTGGTTCCATCCTGTGCAAGCTCCCAGCCACTACTGCCTTCCAGATACCAACAGGAGCTGAGCATTTAAGATCCCTGCTAAATTCTTCCCCATCCCCCAATCAACTGCAAGGGTTCCTAACCCTATTTTCTTAATCACAGACTTCAATAGACTGTAGTGGTAATCTGGCCTCTTTTCCAAATACTTTTAAGCCTCTCATTATCCCTCTATTGATACCTATCATCTGTTTTTTCTGAAATGTATATATTTTCTAGAATGTGTATTTCTTTTGGTAAGTACCTGCCAGGTACAGCAAAACCTTGCTATAACATAATAAATGGGATCCAAAAAATTAAATTGAGTGAAATGTAGGGTCACATCAACGCAAGGCTAATGAAATGACTGGGTATGACTGGGTGAGTCTGGACAGCTAGTCTCAGGGGTTGGGGTACATGATCCAATCCATCTTGGTTCCCAGTGGCTGTTGGCCTCTCACTTCAATCTTGATGATGATCTTGGATCCTGTGGTTGGTTGAGACCTCAGCTCAGCTGCAGCAATTCCAAGAATCTGCCCTTTAATTGACATTCATTTTGGCAAATGTTTTGCTGCCCAAACTAGAAGGCTTTGACCGATGACCACCACTGGGGACTTGGAGATCCATCCTCCACAACTTGGATCCTGAGATTGATTGCCTTCCATTTTCCAACCAGCTAGGTCTCTTGTCTATGTTCTCCCCCTCCCTCCACCAGAATGCTTGACCTGGTTGCTGTGTTTTTCCAGAAAGAGATGGGAAGGAGAGGAATTTATGGATGCACACTTAGGCTACAGTCTTTCCAACCATCTCAGCATTTTCTTCCATGTGCTGCAGGACCTTCATCCATTGACTAGACTAGATTAAACTCCTACTCTCCTTGACCTCTTTATAGCTTTTTATTTTGTTTATGGTATGTATTAATAAACAGTACTTTTAAATTTTTATGTAGTCAATGTTATTGAGCTTTTATTACATGGCTTATTATTCATTGTTTTGGTTACTTACATAGCCATGTGTCACTTATCAACAGGGTTACGCTCTGAGAAATGCAGTTGTTAGGTGATTTTGTCATTGTACAAACCTCATAAAGTATACTTACAGAAACCAAGATGGTACAGCCTACTACACACCTAGCTATATGGTATATAGCCTAGTCCCCCTAGGCTACAAACCTGTACAGCAGGTTACTGTATTGAATACTCTAGGCAATTGTAACACAATGGTAAATATTTGTGTATCAAACATACCCAAACATAGAAAAGGTATAGTAAAAATATGCTATTATAATCAAACAGGAACATAAGATTATAATGTATATAAGACCCTACCACCATATACAGTCCATCATTAACTGAAATGTTGTCACAGGGTGTATGACTGCATTAGTGCCTGTTTCTCGTGCAATTGAGTCCCAGTAGCTATCTACCAATTATTTTACAAGCACAACTGTTATACTTTATCTGACACTACAAATCCCTCCTTTTTGCTCTTTTTTATTTTTCAAATCATTTTCATTATTCTAGTCCACTCTACATAAACTAATCTGATTGGAATTTTTATTGGAATTGCATTAAACCAAACAATTAATCTGAAGATAATAGAGATCTTTACAATATTCTATCTGCCCAGCAAGTAATGTACAATGTATCTTCATTTATTCAAGCCTTTTAAAAAAATATCTCTTAGTAAAGATGTTTGGTCTTCTTCCTATTAGCCTAAGTCCCCTCACAATTCCTGATAAATTGAACACAGCACTCTGTAGAAATGGGCTCATTTTTCCATTATACTTTCTCTTTGGTATAGGAAAGCTATTGATTTTACATCTAACCATCCTATCGAATTCTATTATTAGTTCTAATGTTTTCAGTTAATTATCTTCAGTGTGTTATGTGAAAAAATAATTATTTGCAAATATCAACTGTTTTATCTCCATTTTCAGAGTACTTAATTGTGGAATCCACTCAAGCATTTCTGAGATTTTGATATTTACAGATTTCATACTATATTTGCATTGAGAATAAAATCTACATTTTTGCTGCTGAACTTACATGCTACTATTAATAAAATATTAATAGTATTTCAGTTATAGAAATTTTGATAGTTGTGAATATGAAAGAAATTACAGAAATAATTCCTCTTGTGATATGGTGTTCCCATTGTCATAAATAGCCAGTTTCAGTGCAAAAGGAAGTGGCAGTAAGAATTTTGCTGTCACCCGCACCTGAGTACTAACCATAAACTAATTGCCATTGAGTGATCTCCACAGTATCTAGGTAATCGTTTATTAGAATGCAGGTATATTATTTTATGGATAATCACAGTTTTGAAGAAAGGCTATCTAGGTTTGTGAGAAATAGTGCAAATATGGTGATGTCCTATATTAATCTGCTTGGGCTGTTAGAATACCACAGACTGAGTGGCTTAAACAACAGAAATTTAAATTCTAATAGTTCTAGAGGCTTCAAGTCTAAGAGCAAGGTACCATAAGAGTTGATTTCTGGTGAGAGCTCTCTTCCTGGTTTGAAGATGGCTGCTTTCTTTCTGTTTTCCTCACGTGGTGGCCTTTCCTCTGTGTGTGCATGGAGGGAAAGAGAGAAAGCTTTAGTGTCCCTTCCTTTTCATGCAAGGACACCAGCCTTACTGGATTAGGTTTCCATTCTCATGACCTCATTTAACCTTAATTACCTCTTTCAAGCTCCTATCTCCAAAAACAGTCACACTGAAGATTAGGGCTTCAACATAAGAATTTGGAGGAGGGAATAAAATTCAGTCCATAACACTTTGCATTTAGGATTCTCCTTTAAAATTTCAGATATAAGTTTACAATATATGTTAAATCAATTCAAAAAATGAGTTAGACTTAAAAAAAAAAAACACCCTATTTTTCACCAGGAACTCAATTTTAAAAGGGGACTCTATTTAGAGTATTTATGGCCCTATATTTTTAGCTTTGGGAAAATAGGAAGAAA